ACCACCATGCCGGTTTCAACAGCATCGTCAACATCAGCGCCGTCGCTGGGGCTGCTTTCCATCTCATCGGTGGCTGGTTCGCTGCTGAAGGTGGCCCGGCGTGGAGGGCTGTGTTGCACTTTGGCGTTGGGGCCCCCACGTGTTGCAAGGGAGAGCAGCTCCTCCTCAGCAAGCCCCGCGCGCAAGAGCTGATCCACACGGCGTGCGTACTCGATATCTTCCTTCACCTCAAAGCCTCCTCCTCCTCCTCCTCCTCCTCCTCCTCCGGCCTTGCTCACACGCACTGGCCTCGGGGGACGGAGGCAGCCCAGGGAAAGCCGCTCGCCACGCTCGCGTCGGACAGCGGGGCTTGCGGGCAGGGACGGCGTGCTTTCAGCGTCAGGGCACAAGCTGCTGCGACCACCCTCGAACCTGGGGCTGAGCGGGCGCCGCCTAGACATGCTCTTTCGTCGGAACCGATCGACATGACCACTTGCTCGCCTTTGCTGGTGGTGCTGGTGGGCGTGTTTCGGAGGAGGAGGAGGAGTGGTCAGCACAGCGTCCTTGGTGCTGACGGCCGTGGCGGCTTCCTGGTTCTCCTTGCCTTTGCTGGTGTCAGGAATGTCGCGAATACGGTCGATGATGTGGGTGCGGCGACGATCTCGCGCCGCCAGCGCCTTGTCGCGCCTGGACTGTTTGTGTCGCCGCAGCTGCTGTCGTTGCGTGGTTTTCTTCATCGACGTTCGCCCTGGACGCCCGCTCCTTGTCACAGTTGCTGTTGTCGGTTTTGCTTCGCTTGTTGTCGTTGGCGTTGTCGCTGTCTTTGTCGCTGTCGTTGTCGTCGCTGTTGTTGCCGGTTCGCTGGCGTTCCTAGTCGGCTGCCTAGCAATTGCGGCGCGTGTTGCTGTGGCGGGATGAGCTGGTGGATGTTGCTCGTGATGCTCAAAGCCTTGCCGCGCTGGTGAGTCAAATCTCGGCAACCGCGACTCAACCCGTCGACCTGATTGTTGGTGTTGGTGCTGCCGCCGGTGGGTTTGCGCTGCTGCATTTGGATGCTGTGCGCGTGCGTGCGGATGTGTCGAGAATGTGGGCTGGTGGTGGTGGTGCTGGTGGTGGTGCTGCTGCTGTTGCTGGGCTTCCTCCTGAAGTGGGCAAGAGGTGAGGCGGAGGAGCCTCTTCGCATTGGCCTCGCAGCACAGACTGCAGATCATGTTGTCTGGCATATGTGTTGGGCGGGTCGACTTGCCTGCAAGCAAGATGGCTGGTTCCAGCACCAGTCGCAGCAGCTGTGCGTCTGCCGTGCTGGCACAGCTGTTGCTGCCGATGTCGGTACCACTGCCAGTGTTGCTGGCGGCGTCCCCCACCATCACACAGCCATTGACCAGTCGCAACCGAACATGTGGCCGCTGTGTTACTCCACCGTGCACAACACAGAACCCAGCTTCGGCTTGCATGTGGGTTGTGTCGTTGTCTGTCGATGTTTGTTGTCTCTGGGTCTGCATGTGTTCTTGTAGTTGCTGCTGTTGCTGCGGCCGCTCTGGCATTTGCTGGTGTTGGCGTTGCTGGTGTTGGAGCTGCTCGGTGTTGTTCTTGCCTGTTTCGCCTTGTGCGCTTGCGCCGTGTTGTTGCGTGCACTCGCTGTTGTGATCTTGCGCGTGTCCTTGTTGTTGCTGCTGCTTGTGCTGTTCGTGATGTTCTGGGTTTGTGGGCATCGACAGATCCCCTGGTTCCTTCTGTTCTTGTCCTTCCTCTTGCTGTGGCTCCTCTTGGTTGGCGCGAATCCAAGCCTTCAAATCCGCAACCAGCTTCACGGTCTTGCTGTTGGCCTTGATGCCTCGCTCCTTGCATAGTGTTTGCAGCTGCCGTCGCGGCAGTCCATCCACTGCATCCTCGCTCAGCATCATGACCACTGTGTGTGTGTGTGTGTGTGTGTGTGTGTGTGTGTGTGTGTGTGTGTGTGTGTGTGTGTGTGTGTGTGTGTGTGTGTGTGTGTGTGTGTGTGTGTTGTGTGTGTGTGTGTGTGT